TTTATGAAACAATGATAATATGATATATTATATAGGATAGCTTCTAAAAATATCTGCAACTTTTCTTAATTGAATTTAACCGGAAGAAGTACGAACACACGATTTAAAATTATCATCAAATTTTTACTACGCTTGGTTGAAAAGACATCAACGATCATCCCAAATTTCGTAGGGATTGTATTTCGTACAAGTTGTGCAACGTGAAAGCTGTGATAAACGTGCATGCATCACGCATTGGTTTTTAGTTCAATTTCGAGCACGTATTCATGACTTCGAAATTTCTTGATATAGGTAATATATTTGGGAAATACTAGCAAAGTTTTATATTGACTGGATTGTACCTTACACATTTACTACATATTAAAGTTCAAATCACCATAGTACCGTTATTCATTCGTTTTTCTCTACTAATAAGCATGCTTGAAAAAAATTTTGGTGTACGTGACGTAAGAGTGAAATAACTGAAGCCCTCTTTAATTTTTTTTTTATTATAGGAGAGGGGGCAAACGAGCATGCGGCTCACCTGATGGTAAGTGACTACCGCCGCCCATGAACAACCGCAACACCAGGGGAATTGCAGATGCGTTGCCGGCCTTTTAAAAAGGAGTAGGCTCTTTTCTTGAAGGTCCCTAAGTCGTATCGGTCCGGAAAAATCGCTGGTGGTAAACTATTCCACAAGGAAGTTGTGCGAGGAAGAAAACATATTTATATATAGAGTAGACTTAGCTGAGCCACCGAAGATGTGAGTTAGTAAACTTTGGGATGTACCCTCTTCCAGTCCATTACTGCTGAAGAAAAGGCGGCGATGAACCACGCGACTTTAATTCCTGAAACTAATGGGGTTCCACCACGGTAGTGACGTTAAAAGGGGGAGGATTGTGGGTATACCTTGGTCCTCAGGGTTGACAATGCATCTGCATTTTGATTCTTAATCGAGGATAAATATAGATCTCTATGGGTCACAGCATTTACTTATCGCCAAGTGGACTGTGTGCTCGTTTTTCACCAAAAAAAGAACGATACGCCTCTCTCCTAGCTCTTGCTACGCAAGATCTCTTGGGCCGGAAAAGTAGTTGCTTTAAAATCTCGCTTCTTTTTTTCTTTATACAAAATAGTTTATATATATATATATATATATATATATATATATATATATATATATATATATATATATAAATTACGTATCACGTAGTTTGTCCGCGATGAACTCCTAAACTACTGAACTGATTTCAATGAAATGTTTCACAATGTGTGCAGTTTGGTCCAACTTGAGAGATTGGATAGTTTTTATCCTGGGTCACTAACCCTCAATTTATTATTATGAATTTAATGATTTTTTTTTAGGACACATGGTCGTCGGAAAGGGCAGAACAACTTCTGCCTGGTCAGCTAGTATATATATATATGTTGTCACTCCTGACATCTAAGTTCGAATATCTTCGACTCTTTTTTTTTTACTTCAATACTTACCCAAAATTGACAAAATTGAGAGCATGATCATGCTCAACAGTGAAATGTATATTATACAATACAGGCTTTAATTTACTTTCAATGAGTGATGACCCCAGTATCATACAATTTGTAAAATATGTAAGTGTGAGTGAGATAAAACAACAGAGGCAGTAAAACAGTGACTTTTTATGGGTACAAAGGGGATGATGTGTACAGTAAGTGTACACAGAATCGTGCTTTGTAACAATATGTAGTAGAGCCTTAGTTAAGCAGTGGACTTATTATGGGTTGTAATGATGATGGTGATGACAATGACTATTGAATCAATGTGGACGGAGAAGGTTAGAATATTGTTGCTTAGTACCTAATAGTACTGTTGCAAGTGGAAGAAAAAGGGGAGATCTACCGTCGGGCAAGGTGTTCTACCCAGGGAGGGACCAACGTTCCGAGTGTTAGTTCGGAGTTTTTCTATATATTATACTATTTTACTTTAGATATTTGATAGCCCAACTTAGGCTTCGATGTGCCGCATGTGGCCGCTACAGTACCTATGTATAAGTGAGTACTTGTGTTTGTATGTTCCTTACGTGATAACGCCATGATGCGGCTATATTACTGGTTTACTTGTAGCACGAATGGGTCGACTCGACCGGGGAAGGACCACTTTTTACTGGAAGTGAGGCATTCCATTTCAGTCCTCACGGGTGACAACGCATCTGCATTCGGATTTTTAACTGAGGATAAATGTAGATGTCTATGGACCACAGCATCCACTTACCATCAGGTGGACTGTGTGCGTAAAATCATTTATGTCCGTAACCAGTTGGACTTCTCATTCTTCTTCATAAACAGCCCATAAATGTCCACTGTATATGAGCATCTTTCGTTTATCCTTAATCCCAGTTTGCCTTAATCATAAAGCTTCGCAGGCGGAGTGACGATCTCTGCACTAGACATCTCGTTACTATTCGTCGCCAGTCTAGATACTTTACGTCTGGTGTAAACAATATGGTTATAAAATTCCGTAATACAATGCGAACTAGTACGGAAGGTAGAACATTATTTTTTCTGTAACAATATTATCATAACTCCCAATGTATTTTATTTACCTAATTTTTTTTTTATTTGGATTTGTATTAGCTCTTCACTTAAATATGTAACGTTATAGTGAGGTGGTAAGTCTTTGCTTTATTATAAGACACTATTTGTAAGTTGTTGATAAATAAATAAATTAGATAAATAAATAACGCCATCTATCAGAAGTGAATCGACTTTTCGAGTATTTCCTATAATCGCCTCTTACGGCGCCCACGGAATGATATAGAGCGATGGATTATCTTATGCCTCCACTGTGCAGCACATAAAAGCGTACCCTACCCGTAAGTAACCATCTCCCGTACTAGTCTCGCTTGGCATGCGGGTTGGGCAAGTTTTTTTAGTTGTTATTGTTATCAAGAAGATGCCGCTTGCTATCTCCTGTTGCTTTTCCCTCTTTCACCACTGACGACACCTACGTGAAAATATGGGTTAGTGGATATTCTTATACTGCTACTTCACGGTCAATTTTTTTTTCATATTACATAATCTTAAATCTATACAGTGTTAAGAACGATAACTGCGTTGTATTTAATTTTTAATAAGTATATCGATTAATTTATAGTATATTATTCGCTTGGGAATGGGGAAAAAAGGTTTTCGAGTGGCAGATTCGTACCGGCGACGACGTCGACTATACCGACGAAGTTTAGTCAACGTCGTCAAAGTTCCCCCACTAGATAGAGTGACGACCAGGTAAATATGCAGGAAGTCGATGGATGCAGGTGGCTCAGGACCGTGCTTTGTGGCATTCCTTGGGAGAGGCCTATGTTCTGCAGTGGACTTGTGAATGGATGTAATAACGATGGTGATGAAGATGTTATTCGCTTAAATTTAAATAATACATATCTCAAAATTAACATCAAATATTCAACCTGCTTTTTTTCAAGAATTGGTTCTGAGGCTAAAATAAATGATAAAGTATTGTATTTCACGGATTAGTAGTAGATGCGGTAATGCGACACGCATATTCTATTCAAGAAATCGTATGAGAATACAGTGAGATGATATATTGTAATTACACTACATAGTGTAATGTCGTAGTTTTTTTTATAAATTTCACATCTCATTTTTATATTTTAAACACTAAATATAGAATTTAACTTCAAATACAAAACCAACGATGTGTTTTTGTATGTATTGTATATATACTTACTTGTATATATACTATATGTATATATACTTATATATGTATATGTACTTAGTACGAAATGAATGTAGATGTCTATATATACTACATTCTTTTATAGACGTAATGATGACAACAACATCAATTATCGCTTAATAATCAAATGCAAATGCGTTGTCATCCCTGAGGTGGAATGCGGGATGGAATGCATCGTTTTCTCTAAAAACCCCGTTTCTCTACATTGACCATACAAAACACATCAGCATTAAGCTGCTATTTTTATAAAACAACCTATTATTTTGTTCTCTTCCCTTCAGTGGTAGATAGAAGTACATACTCAAACCCAGATGAACTACTAGGCAGTAAAAGAGCCTCTACCACCCAGTAAAGTCATATATCATTAAAAAAATCATGTTAAATATGCTTTCATAAACGTTAGTAAAAAAGTAAAGTGTAGAGCAGACCCTTACTAGATGGAGTAACGACTTGATACCTTGATACCAGGAATTTGATGGTTGATATTTACTTTTTTTCCTCATCATCATCTCTGCAACTCTTCCCAAGTCTACCTGAACATAGGGCTCCCCCCAAAACTTACCATAAAACAAGGCCTTGTTCCGCCATGCGTGTTATCTAATGCGGTAATACTTAAGGGAGATTTCTGTTCAGCAATGGACTTGTGAAGAGTTGTACAATGCTTTAATATGCACAAAGTATTACAGTCAGTGTTTATCAGTTTTGTCACTAGTCGACTTTTTAGTTTAAAGTTGACTTTTTTGAAAACATTTTTTCTTCACATGGTAGAGCCACGCTGCAGCATATCATGGTTGTAGCTTGAATGAGTCGGCTTGACCGGGGCAGTACCACGCTCTCACAGAATACCACCGTAAAATATAAGCTTAATGCAGCTGTGTTTTGTATGGTGAGTGTAGAGAACCGGAGATCCTTTTTACTGGAAACGAGATACTCCATATTAGTCTTCAAGGGTGAAAACGAATCTGTATTTTTATTCTTAATTGAGGTTAAATGTATGTAGATGTCCATAGGCCACAGCATCCACTTACCAGGTGGACTGTGTGCTCGTCAATCACCCTTATACTATAAAAAAGTATATTTCTCAAGGCTTACGTCCTTTGTTTTCACCTTATCTGGGACGAATACGACCGGTCAATGCAATTGAAACCAGATTAGTCCCATTACATGCAACTCTATTATTCCGGGGCCCAGTGTCGCAAATATTCGCGTTTGACGTTAAAATCCTTCGAACGATAGTAGGGATAGTTTGTAGACCGCCTTATATAAGTCCTTACCGGCTAACTTGGACACACATGACCAGTGGTCGCCGCGGCTAACAGTGTTACATCGCTTCGAACCCTCAGTTCACAATTACCTAAGTGTTTGTGCGTGTTACCGTTGATCAAAGACAAAATGAAAGCTTTCGTAAGTGAATTTTGAGCCTATTTTCGTATTAATAGCGGTATACATAAATGTAGACGGAGAAGTTTGAGACAATTTCTTCTCAGTATCTATAACATACATTCAGTTCTTAACAACTCTGTGTCGGCTGCATTGAGTTGTGGTGTAGAGGGCAGCGGGTTCGAATCCCACACCTAACAACTACTTGTATGGTCTACAAATAATTGTACTGGGTCTGGATTTGTATTCTCAGGCTAACTATTTATTTAAACTATCTCTACGATACAGGAGAAAATCCTATTGTGTAGTAATTTTTTTTTTAAATTTATAAACGTTAATTTTTTTTATTAATAAATAATGAACCAAACTGAATTTAGTTTTAAAGTATAAAGGAAACAAATTTTATATCATCACTTTTGTCAACATTAACATTAATAACAATTTTAGTGTCTACAGGGAATGAAATTGCTCAGTTACTATGAGGTTACTTCGAGGCATTCCATCTTAGTCCTCACGGGTGACGACGCATCTGCATTTTGATTCTTCATTGAGGATAAATATAGATGTCTATGGGTCACAGCAACCACTTACCATCAGGTGGACTGTGTGCTCGTTTGTTACCCTATCCTATAAAAAAAAGCTTGAGGCGGGTGCTTAGCCACTGAGCTATCGGGGCTCTACTTCTCAAATTTCAAAAACGCAGATAAGAGTTAATTAAAATATTATATGTTTTCTTTATACGTCGTATTTCTCTAGATAGATCTCTAGATAAAAGGTTATATATATATATATATATATATATATATATATATATATATATATATATATATATATATATATATATATACATATATAATATTTTTAAATTCATCCATAATTAATTTTAACTCAAAAATATTTTTACCCTAGCCTTTTACTCAAAGATTTATCGGTTCGTCACCGGTCTGACTATTTATATCTGTCATATTTTCCGAAATTATATATATCGCCTTGTAGGGCTTAAGTGAATCCACTACCTAATATCATTCCATGGTTATCGGAAGTGGCGATGGAGGGAAACTAAAACAAAAAAGGCCTCAGCAGTAGACTCTAGATGGACTGTAATAATAATAAATAATGATCCGAAATCGTTCACCGCCATCTTTTGCAGGCCGGGAGTACGTCTGGTGTTTCCCATAGTCTCGGTGTTATAATCGCCATAGGACATTACAGAGAAATAAATAGTTTTAAGAGGTTTAAGAGGAGCGTCAGGGCCTATACTGATTTAAAAAATAAATATTGTTCTTTTTAATCCTTATAAATTTTATCGAGTGTTGAGTTACATTGACAGTTCAAAACAACCTAAACCGACCTTGTCTATTCTAGCCAAGGCGATAACTTCCAAAAAATATGCTTTATGAAACTAAACTTCATTTATGTAATACTTTTGGGGTAATATCGAAGGTTTAGATAAACTGTGAAAGGTACAAGAACAATCAGTTGTTTGTGCATTTTTACAAATAATAATAATAATCATGAATTTCAATCCATCAGATCATACTTACAGTAGTACATTTGAAATGAAATTTAAATTTTGAATTACGTATGAATTAAATTACAATAAATTGAATTATATTAAAATAAAATTATTAACCAGACTTAAAAGCATTAAAATCAAATTAACATCATTAAATATAATAATCAATACAAATGTTTGCTTCATCTGAGATTAAACCACAAGGCTCTTAGTGTAGTGGCTGACTTATTTGAGCTTACTTTATGATTGACTTAATTTATTTACATAATTTGTAGTTTACTCGGCCATATTAGGGGTTAGTCGGTCACCGTAAAATTCACAGTAAAAACAACCTGGGATCAATCCCCACAGGCACCAACGAAATTGTCAATGGTAAATTTATATGCCGATTTACCACGTGTTCGGCAGTAAAGAAAATATCCCGAGAAAACCTGCACATACGCAGAGATGTGAGGAGGCGTGTGCCCACAAGTGGGACAAATATAACTAGTAAAAGTAATACTACATTTTTGTTGTTAATTCATTTGTAATAATAAATTAACTACTGATTCAAAAATACGGGCATACCTATAACGAGGAGCTTACCACAAATGCAAGTTAAGTACTTCTACTCTTTGATACTATAAAGCATTTTTATCTTCATTTGTGTCACTTCTGAAAACATATATAACGTCTCGCCTGTAATCCCTGACGGGGTAGGCAGAGCCAAAAGAGCAGTGAGCTGTAGGTACTCGGACCACTATTAGCAAATAAAAGGTATACATGAAAAATTGTTAAAGAAATGATACAAACACAATATTCCATCAGTTACCTTTTACAATATGCTAGGCAAGTAACACTGTGGGCACAATTTTTTTTGTACATATAAACCCCGCATAAACATGGGAGCTACCAACATGGGACATCTTAAAACGCATAAAGCATGTGCTTGTGATTATATTGTCTTTGAAGCTTTGAGCAATTTTGCTAGTTTTTGAGCCTTACTTATCCAGTGTCATAAAAAATTAAAAAAGTCCTTTTTTAATTTATATTTTTATCAAGTAATTGCCTGGTATCAGACACGGTTTTCTTAATTTTTAATACGTTTTTTATATTAAATACTTAAAATTTTAGAACGATTTCTACGCAGTACGACAATATTCTAAATTACAGGATACATCCGAAGCTAATCCCTGCTAATTTCAGTCCCATATATACAACAATTTGAGGTTGGTGCAGTAGCTTAACGTTCGGCTTAAGATACGAATCCTGTATCTATGTAATATATTGTATCCTGTAATAAGTATTTGCGTGGCCCACAAATTAGTTCTAGGTCTGGTTGTTCATCCATTTGCAATTTAGTAATGTAAAACAACTAGTATGTGACGTCTTTTTTAATAAAATAATTAATATTGCTTTTTAAATTTTAATCGTGTATTTATTAATTAATTTGATTTACTAACGTTTGCTTGCATTGTTTCTTAACACAAGAACCATGCTTAAACTATAATCAAATGTACAATGTATTATATTCCCAATATAATTATATAGTCACTTTTTGATGAGCTTCAACTGGTAATAAACTGGTAAAATAAAAATTTGTTTCATATTTGCTTCTTTTCTCTAAGTTAGCGCAATAAAAAAATACTTAAAGGTTGATTGATATTGTAACTACATTCTTTATGAATTATAAATTAGAGCGTGAGTACGATTTCATTCACTCACAAAAATTGATGAGTGGTTATGCGAACTTGGGTACAGCACTAGCTTTACAAAATTTTATTCACTCTTTTTTTGAGAACATCTATATTGTATTCAGACCATTGCTAACAAATTATCACTATAATATTTACCTTTGCTATACGCAATATAAAGGACAAAGCAAAATTCTGAATACTACAAATCAATTACAAAAAGTGTATCTTTAAGTGCTCCATAGATTGCCTCATAGGATCTTGCACAAGTTACCACGCGGGTTGGTAACTACAGTTTTTTTAAATTATTATTTTGAGCTGTCAGGAAGATACTTCTGCCAGAATACTTCTTCTGAATGCTCATTGTACCTGAAATCTACCGTTCGTGTTATTGTTTGTCGTTGGAAATAAGACATAGGAATTATTGTATAATTCTTGTGCACACTCCGAAACGAATTCAAACAAAAGCGAAAACAAATTACAAAAACAACAACAAACAAACTGCATCCATCGTGCACCATCGCTTATGATATACGCGTGTTTAATTATTCGCGTCATGCCCAAAATTTCGTTTCTTACCACCCCGAGGCGCATGCCAAGTGGCGTGATGAAGTCATAACACGTAACGGGTAAAAGTTTGCCATTGTTTTCGTTCGATAACTTAAGCAGTATTGCCGACAATGTTAAGGATTTAAAATGTATTTTGATGATAGGTATAATACTAATTTTATGCTGTATAAGTTTACTTGGGTGATGGTAGCTCCTTCCTTCTTCTTCATTATCAGACTATAAAAATCCACTGCTGGAGCTGGGCATCTCCCGTGGGATTTCCTTTGTCATCACTTTTGGCAAGCATCACTCTATAATGCAGCTATATTATGGTTGTAGCACGAATGGATCGGCTCGACCGGTGTAAAACCACGCTCTCACAGAATACCAGCGTAAAATAGCAGCTTAATGCTTACTTAAATGAGGCATTCCATCTCAGTCCTCATGATAAATGTAGATTTCTATGTGTCACAGTATCCACTTACCATCAGGTGGACTGTGTGCTCGTTTGTTACCCTTATTCTATAAAAAACTAGACTGACGATTGCTTTATCAGACTTCTCACACTTTTAAAGCTGCTGAATGCTCCTTTATTAGCTAACATCCCTTCTGAGTTAATAGAACCTCCTTAAACACTTCCGGATAGATCCGGATAAAATTATAAAAGAGTCAACATTATGACAAACTGGGGGGTTATTTCATCCTCGTGATCAAGAGTTTGAATTGGTTGCAGAAGGCGCTATTCATCATTATCATCATTACAGCTCATCACAACTCCACTGTTGAACATATGGCTCCCTCAAGGAATGCCACAAAACGCGGTCTTTAGCTACCTGCATCCACCGGCTTCCCACATACCAGGTTATCACTGTATCTGGGGAGCGGTTTTAAAACTCCGCTCACCAGTACGAGCCTGCCACTACAGAATCTTTTTTTAGAAAAAACGGAAAGTTTTTGGCATCTTGCGAACGTGATTGAGTTTTTCACGTTCATTATGTTTTACTTCACCATTGACAACTTGGTAAATGAGCGTTTAAATTTGAACTAAAAATTCCAGAAGTGCTGGGAAGCATCTTTTAACATGCACTCTGTGAAATTTAAAAATTACTTTTGGATCTGAGTTATAGCTTTGTGTCAAAGGTTAAACTAAATTTTCATTTTCTAATATTTCAGGTGGTAATTCTCTGTCTGACTGCATCAGTTCTTGCTGAACCGAGCAAAGTCATCCAGAAGCGCAGCGGCCTCGTTGGTCACTATGCCGCCGCAGCTCCTTTATACGCCCATGGGTACAGCTTGGGTGGTTATGGGGGCTATGGGTATGGCTCTGGCCTGGGATCAGGCCTAGGAGCTGCGTTAGCTGCTGGTGTAGGTTCCGGTGTAGCAGTTGGCTCTGGTATCAGTGCTCTAAGCGGTGGTACGATAGTTGGGGCTGATGTTCACACAACGGTTACCAAGCATGTTGGCATACCAGTACCAGCTCCCTACCCTGTAGCTGTTGACAGGCCTTACCCTGTCCCAGTAAGAGTAAGTATTGATTTAATATTTCAAAAATCTCTTTTTTTTCTACTCAAGATTTTTTTACCTTATTTTTTGGCACAAACAAAGAAACTGCTTTTTAAATGACCTCCGAGTTAAACCAACTTTGCTGATGATTTTGTTGAAAATGTGATCTCCTATAAATTTCAAAAGATCTAAAGATTTCTACCAGATAAAAATTTGATTGATGCATAAGATAATTAATCAAAACCGCCTAATAAATTACTAACATAGTATTCCATGATTACAGGTAAATGTTCCTGTGCCAGTAGACCGTCCTTACGCCGTACCAGTTCCCAGGCCCTACCCTGTTGCCGTTGAAAAGCACGTCGCTGTTCCCGTTGACAGACCAGTGCCCGTTCCCGTGCCACATGCGGTGCCTTACCCCATCGTCAAACAGGTAATATTACGTAGGATGTAGTAGCTTAAATAATGAAGTATGAAAAAACTCAACTTAAAATTTTATTTTTACGATTCACTAGGGTCTTCTCTGCCCAAGAGTTTGTCTGAATAGGTAACTTATTCTAATCTAACTTGTTGAACTATGAAAATACTTTTACAAGGGTTTTTTTATAGTAATAAGAGTAACAAACGAACACACAATCTATCTTTGGAAAGTGGATAATATGGTCCATAGACATGTACCCTTTTGTCAAAAGTTGTCTATCAAGAAGTTGTGAAAGGTATCTGAAGAGGCCCTATATAACTACAGGATGGACAACATTACAAATGATTATCATTACATTATCATTGCAAAATGACTTGGCAATAGACACATCACATTTGTCACGGTAGTAACAGCTTTTGGAGAATACGTGCTATAGGGTCGAGGCCACGCTTATGTAAGCGCAATATAGGACGCTCCCAGACGGAGCTACCATCAGCGCAGATCGTGTGGCAGGAACTGGATGCGTGAATGTCATACTAATACTCCCCAGTCACAAGTTGATGATAATGATGACAATGCAGCATTACACCTTAATTGTCTTGTGCAAGTAATCTGTCACCTTCTTTGTTTGTCGGTTGCTCAATGATTTCTTATATAATGCTACAGCAAATGGAGAGCTAAGATGTTTAAGCTGCACTTACGACCAGGTGGACTATTAGCTGGTAGGTTTCGTAAAGAAAATATGAAAAGAGTATGGATTAGCGTCATCATAGTTACAGCCTTTTAAAAATCTACTGCTGAACAAGGGTCTCCCGCATAGATAGGAGCATGAAATAGGGTGATTCACTTATACCAAATTATATTTATATTTCATCACATTACTAGAGCCTATCAAAGTCTACAGCTGAATGTAGGCCTTCTCCATACATTGCCTCATAGGGGAAATATTTGCAATAGTTGCCAAGCTTGGCAGGCAGGTTGGAATCCACAGTTTATATTTTCTTGATGTCATTAGGAAGACCCTGGTGCCCATCTTCTCATTGGTTTTCCTCTGTCGCTTCTCACTACACCCACGGGACGATATGGGGTAGTGGATATTTTTACACCTCCACTGCAAGGTTTAAAGAAGTAAGGAGGAATTTTAATAAAACGATTTACGTCTCTCTGACATGTCCTACCATGATGATGATTATTGTTATGTGCTGGAGGATCATTTTGAAATATCAGCATGCCTGTAATAAAGTAAACTTTGTTTCCTCGGACTCCCTAAGTGGGTACATCCCGCTTACCCATTTTATATCACGAGTCTCCTTGCCGTATTAGCGTGATCTCGAGATTTTTTCTTTCTGATCTTGCCGTTTTTCTTTAGCTGTCTGAATAGTTGTTAGTTGGGCCATGTACGAGTAAGTAACTCTGGTTCAACTGGAAATATCCGCTGTTAGGACCAATGTTTCGTAAGCTCCCTTAGCTTCATATAAAACTTATAAAAATATTTTTTGCAATGACTGATATTTGAGTGCAATCGTGTATCAGAATAATAGAACTATCTTAAAACGAGTTTGTAGAACTATTGGAAAGTCTATGGATTTCTTTTAATAATTAGGTAATTTTGACAAGCCTCCGTTAAATAATTTTGGCAATTAATTTCTAGGTTGGAGTCCCAGTACCAGCACCTTACGCTGTCCCTGTTCCCAAACCAGTAGCAGTGCCAGTGCCTCATCCCGTCGCCGTACCTGTTGTGAAGTCCATTGTGTCGTCGGGCATAGGTTTGTCTGGCTACGGAGCTTCTAGCTACGGTGCATCGATATATGGAGGTCTTCATGGACACGGCCTTTCTTCTAAGATCTGGTGAAGAAGAAGACTGAACATTGAACACTCTATTGTTGGTAATAATGGAGTATTATTTAGTAATTAATAAATGTAGGTTCAAAACTATTCATAAAGTAATTACATACCTCTTTGTTCACCAAGTTCTTTTTTTGAATATTGGTTTCTTTTTAATAGTTTTAAAAGTCAAACTATTTATAAGTTTGACTTATTTAAAACTTATATGATATGTACAAGAATACAAAATTGTACTTTAATACACATACTTAAATTTAATATTTTTAAAGAACAATTAATGTTACTGAATTCGAAATCATTAGAGGACTTGTCTTATTGTATCCATTCATTATACAAGCAGTAAATGAAAAACCAGCGGGTGTTAGATAAAAGAAAGTAAAAGGCATTTTCATTAGACTCTGTGTATAGTCATGAATGAAATATTACTATGTGATTTTCTTAGAGTTAGCTATAGCGTGTATACTTTTGGTACGTATTCTCTATCGTTAAGGAATTGAGAAGGAGGTGGGTTGAAAGTGCAATGAAAACTGTAGCTTACTTTAATCTATTTTACCAATTTAATTTTATATATTTTAAAATACCATTCAAAAATAACGAGTGAACCATTATAGAAATATTTTTTACGAATTATATATGAATTTTAGATTTCCTGTAATATATGTACATATGATTGTTTGTATATATTTGTCAGATATAACAAATATTTAACATCCATTATTGCAGTTCAATTGATCTCTTTCAGTATAACGCTGTTGAGGAGAGGCTTCATCTAATGTACCTGGTTAACGTACTTTTGTATATATATTTTCTTAGAGTTTAAGAATGAAGGTGTATTTCGACTGCAGTCAATTAAAGTATATTTTTATAAACTTCTTTTTATAATAAAATGTATTTCCGAAATACTTTACTTTTATTTACAATATCTTAATCCCGCGTCCAAAAAAAAGTTTTTTTTTTTTAAAATTAAGTCATTTTTAATATACCACGTTTTATATTCTTACATTGTCTTCCAATTATGGGCTATGTACAAAATTTCAAGTTTATAGCTCTTCGAGAAGTTAGCTTAAGATCAATTTCTTAATTCGACCCGAACAGACTTACACAAAAGCAAGTTAATAAGAACGTGGTTAAAAAGCACACAACACAGACAACAATTACCCAAATTGAAAATATCCTAAACGTACTTTATATATATAAAAAAAACTGAAAATCAACACTATTTCACAGTACACTCATCATGATTTTGCAAATCCACAAAAGATTAGCATGTGACTATGCCAAAGTTTGCTATAGCTGAGCCGTCATTGTAAAAGTTTGCAATAACTGAGCTGTCATGGTTTCCTTACACATTAGCGCTCTGATGTATGTGTACGCATTCTGATATTCTCCTACATATTTCCAGCATCATAATATTATACGAGTACTAACTACAACGGCATCAATATCTTATATTATTCTTAACAATGAATTCCAAATTTCGTTTTTCATAAAGTTGTCAATACCCTGATAGATACTAGTTAAGACGAAAATAAATAAACAAAAATCCTATGATTCGGTCTTAGGGCACGAAGTTGCTACGAACGGAATCAAGTAGACTACATTAAATACCAATGACAATTATTGTATTGGATGAAAAACGTACTAACGTTGTAGAAAACCTGTACCAATAATGTTACCTTTTATCGCTATGAAATTACCAAATATAATCCGGCTTACTTTCAATCATCAAATAAAAATTATTTATATAATTTGTAAAATACGTCATAAAAAAATTAAGAATTAGAGATCAGCTAAGAACGGATTTTACGAACTTACCTATTATATTATTTACGGTTTTCTAAAATAATTAATTATTTTAAAAACCGGAAGGGGGTATTAATAAGAAAAACAGATTTTCAAACAATAACTATTAAACTTGTCCAGAATATTCTTTCTGGCGTGTTAAAAATTACCGAAAACGGATTTCATGAAATTCCACTCACAAAGGGCAGTGAAGGGGCGTTAAAAATAAAAAATAAAAACTTTTTTTGTCGCTTTCCTCCGTATGTAGGTACGCTTAGATCTTTTAAATTACGTAACAGAATTTGATGGGGTTTTCATCAATAGACAGAATGATACAAGAGGAAAGTATAATTGATTCGACGACTTAGATTCACAACAGACCCGGTAGATGGCGCTTTTGAGAGATCCTGAAATCACCAGTGCGAAACCGGGTTTGATCGCTAGTTAATTACATAAATATAAAATTCAAAAAATTCACAGATAAAAGATAATCATAAAATGTATCTTTATGATTATCTTTCATGTATTAAAAATATTAGTATTGACTGTCTCGTCGCTCTAGTGGTCCTCATGAAGTCCTGGATTCGTTTCGCGGGTCGGGACAAAGTCAGTTAGTGTGTTTTGCTGTCAAGAAATTCTATAGCAGCCCGGAGTCGGGAAGGTAGAGATGTTTCATCTTCTTCCGTCGAAAAGCACGTCTCCGCTCGGGTTGTTGTTGGGAGTTGGATTACCGTCCCAGCACCAGTACTTGCGCACACTCAGACGCTATAATCTTGTTGTCTCCGTTGAGGCTGGCCGCCGTGACCGAAATTCGGTACGGAGGATACTTTAAACGACGTTTAAGCTTCATCATCATCATTACAGCCCTTCACAAGTCCACTGCTGAACATAGGCCTCCCCCAAAGAATGCCACAAAGCACGGTCCTGAGCCACCTGCATCCATCGACTTCCTGCACGTTTAAGCTTATTGTGCCAAAAATATACCTTGAATAATATTAGGATTTTTCTTTTTATTCTCCATTTCTTCGACAAGTCACAACACGTTCCAGTTCCTATAGAAAGTCGTTGCACCACAAATGGCACGGGACACTGTTATGTAACATGTGTTGTCTTGCAAGTTGACGAAGTTACGGAATGGACGGAAGTGCATACCATAACAGGTGCCGACAAAGAATGTTCTGGTTACCTGATCCAGTAGAACATATGATGCATAGAATAGATATATCTAGATTTTTCCGCGTAAATATCGGTTCAGAAGTCGGTGTTTTTATCTACCGACTTAAAAAAGGAGGAGGTACTCAAATCGAATGCATGTTCTTTTTATTATAGAATAAGGGTGACAAACGAGCACACAGGTGGACTACCTGATGGTAAGTGGTTGCTGTGGTCCATAGACATCTACATCTATGTTCATTTGCGAATTAAAATGCAGATGAGTTGTCAGCCGTGAGGACTAATATAAAATGCCTCTTTTCCAGTAAAATGGGTCTCCGGTTCCTACACTCACCATACGAAACACAGCAGCATTAAGCTTTTATTTTACGCTGGTATTCTGTGAGAGCGTTGTCCTTCCCCGATCGAGCCGACTCATTCATGCTACAACTATACTATTAATATTGTGTCATAACTTTCTTCTAGGTGAACCGATTTCGATGATTCTTTTATTATTTAAAAGCTATTGCTTTTCGTGAGGTCCCATATAAATTTGATCAATGCTTGACCAATAGTTCTTGACTTATCCTTGAAGTCAGTTGTACAAAATTTTTAATTTTTAATTATTCTTCGATGCACTATGTCTTAGCACGGACTCCAGTCGATGAGCCGATTTCAGATGAGATCGGTTTTTACTTTGAATTAAAAGATTTTACTCTGCCTTTCTTTATATAGAATAAGCGTAACAAATGAGCACACAGTCCACCTGATAGTAAGTTGAGGATGTGGCCTATAGAAATCTACATTTATCCTCGTTTATGAATCAAAATACAGAAGCGTTGTCACCTCTGAGGACTAAGATGGTATGTTTCCAGTAAAAGAGGGCTGCTATTTTACGCTGGTATTCTGTGAAAGCATGGTACTTCCCCGATTGAGCCGACCCATTCGTGCTACAACCATAAAGATCCAAACACAAGCGGAGCGTAGCGGCCAGTTATATTCGCTTGCAATGAAAGTGAGTCTGCAAACCCGTGCGGCCCTACCAGCGGCTAGCCGCGGCCGCAAACCCCGTTCCCTGCGCCACCACGTGTGTATTACCAAGCGTGCCTATCAGTGGCCGCCATGCGGTTACGTGCAAATTTTTACAACAGGCCGCGTATACCGCGTGAAAAATGGCGCTAAATACAGAGAAACAGTGCAAAATTGTTCATTACTTAATGATACTTTACAACGTGATTACAAAAGCATTAGGATTAAAATAAAATATGGGATAATATTGCTGAATATAATAAGAGTAATAAGATTTCGTCACGGTCAGCCATGTTGTCTGACGTCCGATCGTAGCACAAATACCAGAGCGAATAATGCTTTAGGCCGCCACGCCACTGCGACCGAGGTAGTGTAGTGTTACAGCGACTACAGCCGCGGCCCGTGATTAGCCGCCACCGCAAGCCGCTTATGTGTGGGAGACGCTTAATACAGCTGCAGCATGCTTCTACTACGTAAAGTAGACTTTATACACACTTTTGGATAGAAAGGTATATACATTTATGTACCTAATAACTTAAGGAATGCAGATATGGACTCTTCTCTGTAACACCTCTACAAGGCGTTTAGTCTAATATTGAAGTTTTTAAACGATAGATCCACGCTACATTTGTTATGGCTGTAGCAAGAATCAGTCGACCACGCCCGCACAGATTAAAATTATAAAATAACACCATAAAGTTCTTGTTTCGTAGGTAAGCGACGAAAACCGCAGTGGACTGTATACAAGTTTACAGTCCATCAAACGTCCACTGCTGAACACAGGCCGCCCCTACAGTTTGCTACGTAGTGGATAGCGGATGAAAAATGGCATTACTTTGTGGATATGTTTTTCTAACATTAATGTATCAATTTCTCTCATAGGGTTTTAATAAAGTTTATCACATTTTCTCCAGTTTTATGGGGCTGGTCATTTCAAACGGACCATCTCTTTTCATTGAGCGAAGAATAACTTATGATATTTCGGTGACGGCTCCGTGTCACAGTGAAATAAGTTGCAGCGCTAAGTGTCGTGAGTTCGAATGCCGTACGGAAAACTCATTTGTATGGTTTATAAATATTTTTTCCGGGTCTGGTTGTTTGTCCTTGTGAAATTTATGTATGTAAACTAACCGATGATATAACAGAAAACCCTAGTATGGAAGTAACGTTTTTTAAAGGAGAAGATAAAGAACTATAATCTATTTTATTATTCTATAAAGGGCAAACAGGTATTCTGTCATTGGCATTCATCCCGTGGGTCGAATGCAGAGATCGATTATAGAAAATACCAGAAGTATCTTATAGCTACCGATAGATGGCAGGATAACCATTTTGTTAAAACGCCATCTCTAGGACACGATTCACACGTATCCAGTTTCTATATTTATTCCTAGTGCTCATGGCATAAAATTAGAAACATGGTAAGGCTTCAATTTCAAATATTACGCTCGTCAGCAAATTAGTATAAATTCGAACGAACGAAACGAACAGACGGGCAGACAAGAAAGTGAGTTTATATTGCTGTCATCTTGGTCGAAGATACCTTTTAAGTTTTATTAAGATACCTTTTAATTTACAAATCTCTAGCTCATCGTGAAGTTATTTTCAAATCGGTTGCAAAGTTTGTGAAAAACAGACAAACAGAGAAGTAAGCATGTTGATAAAAACGTGGTAACGTCACTCCAACGTATATTAGCATTAAAAAACTTAGTCGAAATAATACATAAATTTTATATGTGATAAAGCCATGATGAAAGTATATTAGTAGTATAGTTGTAGCACGAATGGGTTGGTTGGTTGGGAAGGACCACGCTCTCACAGAATACCAGCGTAAAATAGCAGCTTGACACTGATGTGTGTCGTATGGTGAGTGTAGAGAACCGGCGACCCATTTTACTGGAAAAAAACCATTTCATCTTAGTCCTCACGGGTGA